CCGACCTTAAAATTTTCAACTACTTTTCTTAAGTAAGAACTTTAAATTAATGACCACTCGGGGTAAGTTGTATAACTGAATATAAATGTCACTGTCGTTCTGTAGATCACTCAGATCGTTACAAGTAGCTTCATATGGAACAGACAGACGAGGGTACAATTAAGGATGCAAAACACTTGAAAATGAGTAAAACTATAGGAGACCACTTTTCAGTATTTTGAAATGTATTTTACAAAAGCCGTAGAATCTACAATTGAAGTATCAAGTGTCTCTTCTTAAGACAAAATGCGCAGTAAATAACGATGCTCTTTTGGAACAAGGCCTTGCGCACGATAATTACTGATTGCTGGTCTTTTTAAAAAAAATCAGTTCCAGGAGAAAATAAAAGTATTGATGATATTTTACGTTTTAACCTCAGGAATGTGAACTCAAAATGTATCTTTTATGTACAGATACACACACCAACACAAACACGCTCAAAAACGCATACCAATTCATTCACATACTCGCACGCACATACACACATTCATACACACAAACAAACACATTCATACACACACGCACATACACACACATGTAAACACAGAGACGCAAACACACACATACACACATACGCCGGTGCACACACACAGTTTTACACACACACACACACACACACACACACACACACACACACACACCCACAGACATACACACACAGACACACACTCACACACACACTCACAGAAACAGACACATTAAACAACTTCACTAATATGACAGGTAGGAAAGCTGTAGAGCAAAAAAACAACAACCCAACAACAACAAAACCACTCATATAATCTAAAACCGTTCTTTGTCGTGCGAGAAGATTCAAACTGCTGTCGCTCGCTTTTAAGTCAAAATGACCTAGCGATGCCGTTTTATAAGCTTCTACCCGTGTGTGTGGCCGATGCGTGGCTGGTTCACAGTGATCGATACTCATCATCCATTGCTTTCAGTACCTGTTGTTCTGATCAGCGCTAACCCGCATTCACTGGTCCAGCCACTGCTGCGTTCTCGTACAAGGGGCGCGTTCATGCGTGATTGATCGGTGATCAATTAACTGATTGATGAGCTCCTAATCCAGAGCTCATCCGACCGGGCCTGCGATCGGTTCCAGAAACCGCGTAATCAATCAGTGATTCCGGAGGAGGAGGAGGAGGAGGAGGAAGGGGGTGGGGGTGGGGGTAACTCGTATCTTCTCTCGTAGTTACGGAACTTGGCGGTGCAAGAAAGAGTGGCCTTGACTTCAGCAGCCGCGAAGACACTGGGAATTTTTATCTCTGCTCCTCTGTCTCTGTCTCTCTCTCTTTATCTCTCTCTCTCTCTCGCTCTCTCTCTCTCTCTCTCTCTCTCTCTCTCTCTCTCTTTGTCTCTGTCTCTCTATCTCTCTCCCTCCCTTCCTAACTTCCTCTC